AAACTCAAGGTGGCTAAAGTGGTACCAGTATATAAAAAAATCTGACCGTATTATAGGCCAATAGCACTGTTACCAATCTTTTCTAAAAGTCTTGAGAAAAAAAATTATAGACCCTTAAATGAGTTTCTATCTAAAAAGAATATCTTGATTCCTCAGCAGTGCGGTTTTCGTAAGCACTTCTCCACACAAATGGGTGTGTTTAATTTATTAAGTAATATCATAAAAGCTATTGATGGAGACAAGTATTGTCAGGGGATATTCTTAGATCTATCTAAGGCGTTTGATACCATTGACCATGGTATCCTCCTCAGGAAACTAGAGCATTATGGAATACGTGGTGTAGCATTGTCTTGGTTCCAAAGTTATTTGTTTGACAGGACTCAATTTGTTGTGGTGGATGGTACTAGTTCCCAACTTGCTTCTATTAAATATGGTGTACCTCAGGGTTCTTTTATTGGTCCCCTGTTGTTTTTAATCTATATAAATGATATAATACACTCGTCAACATTATTCTCATACTCCCTGTTTGCTGATGATACCAGCTTGCTGCGGGTTGGTAAGAAGGCTGAAGATTTATTACTAATTGCAAATCAAGAGATTCAGAAACTGTATGCATGGTATTGTTGTAATAAGTTATTGTTGAATGTTCAAAAGACGAAATGTGTTATTTTTCGCTCAAAGGGTAAAAATCTTCCAGATGGTATTACTCTTCTTAATGTTGGAGGCCATGATGTTGCGCTTAGTGAAAATGTTTAGTTCTTAGGGTTAACTATGGATGAGCACTTATCTTGGAAGAATCATTTAGATGTTGTATGCACTAAATTGTCCCGAAGTGTAGGTGTCATTTTTAGATTGAAATTTATTTTACCTGAAAGAGTACTGTTAACATTATATAATAGTATTATTCTTCCTTATTTGACATATTGTAATGTTGCTTGGGGAAACACTTTTAAGTCATATCTTGATAAGTTGAGAGTATTGCAGAAGAAGGCTATAAGGCTTATTACTAATTCTAATTATAGACATCCAAGTTCTCCATTGTTCCTTCGACTAAGAATGTTACCACTAAGTGGACTTGTGTCGTTCAATTGCGTATTGTTTATGAATAAACTTCAGTCTATGCCTCATGAATGTACGTTAAAAGATTTATTCCGTAAAACTCACAAATTCACAATTATAATGTTGGAGGCCATGATGTTGCGCTTAGTGAAAATGTTTAGTTCTTAGGGTTAACTATGGATGAGCACTTATCTTGGAAGAATCATTTAGATGTTGTATGCACTAAATTGTCCCGAAGTGTAGGTGTCATTTTTAGATTGAAATTTATTTTACCTGAAAGAGTACTGTTAACATTATATAATAGTATTATTCTTCCTTATTTGACATATTGTAATGTTGCTCGGGGAAACACTTTTAAGTCATATCTTGATAAGTTGAGAGTATTGCAGAAGAAGGCTATAAGGCTTATTACTAATTCTAATTATAGACATCCAAGTTCTCCATTGTTCCTTCGACTAAGAATGTTACCACTAAGTGGACTTGTGTCGTTCAATTGCGTATTGTTTATGAATAAACTTCAGTCTATGCCTCATGAATGTACGTTAAAAGATTTATTCCGTAAAAACTCACAAATTCACAATTATAATACACGTCAAAGGGGTCTTATTCATCAGCCTTTTGCAAGAACAAATATCACTCTGACCTCTTTCCATATCTCTTGCATCAAAGAATGGAACAGTTTGCCTGATGATATATAAAAAAAAAAGTACAACTCTTTCTAGTTTAGAAGATTGTCTAAAACGTACCTACTTGGAAGACTGACATAATTCTACTTTGTATCATAATAATTTCTCATTCTCAAATGCTTATAGACCACTAAGGACTGTGTGTGTGTGTGCGCGCGCGTGCGTGTGTGTGAATATTTTTGTGTGTTCTATATTCTGTAGCTTAGTTTGTTTCCATCCCTTGTATAAACATTACATTCTTTTTATTCACCTTGCCATATCGTTAATGTATGTATTTTGTTGACTAAGTATAGGGCCCCGCTCACAAGCTTAGCTTCTACAGGGGTCCTAAAACGATTCACTTAATGATGTAATCAAGTTATTATATGTTGACTAATGTACTATTGTCTATTACCAGTCTCTTTTTCATGTAAAAGATTATATCATGTTTTGTGTAGTTTTGAATAAATGAACTTGAACAGTTACTTTTCTCTCTAATAATATAGTTGTGTATTATATTTATGCAATTTCCACTTATTACGGCCTTTTTTTTTTTCTTTTTTTTTGGGGGGGGGGGGGGTGGTATGATGGAAATAGCTCACTAGTTCAAACGTCTTGCAGTGGAAATGTATGATAAGATTATGTAGTAGTTTATTATATTTGGTCGATTTAAAAAGAAAAAACTTATTAGGGGCGTCTTTTGAGCACAACCCTTCACTGAAAAAGTCTGGGAGTTAATTGGTAATAAAGAGAGTTATACTCCACTTTTTTAATCAGGTTTGATCCAGTTACTTTTCTCGCTATTAATGTAGTATGTTTAGCACTCATTTAGGGCGTATGCCACTTGGGGCCCTTTGGCGGGCACAACCCCTCTTAACCCTAAAAAGACTGGGGCTGATTTAGCCCCCCCCCCGGCCCCTCTCCTCTATTTTCGCGATTACTTCGTAATGCTTCAATATTTTACGGTGCAAATTCATGACTTTTTTTAGAGTCTTGCGCATTTTTTGGTACCAAATTTGGGCACACCGGGTAATCAGTCCGGGTGTTATATAACATTTTGCGATCGTGTGTCACTGAAAATTTGATTATTTTTTATTATTTTTTAAAAATAAATTATTCCATATATAACATACAAAGTTTTAGATGCACCTTTTATGTTGCAGTTTTATATTCCCATTTGGCTTGGTGAATAAAACGTATTGCATTCTCATTTGCATAAAACAATACAATATATAAAGAATAATACACAGAAAAGCAAAGAAAAACAAGGAAAAAGATAGAAACAAAGAAAAAACAAAGAAAAGGGCAAAACTAAATCAATTTTTTCACGATTTTCCTGTTAAATAACAGATGTTATAAGGAAGTTAAAATGTCTTTCATAACTTCACTTGATATTAACACCAAAACATATGTTCATCATATAATATGACATCAAAATCATTCATAAGTTGGTTAATTAGCCTATCATATCAATTAGGCTTATCTTTTTTTTTATATCAGAGATTGTTTAAAATAATCTTAGCATGTAGCTTGTCCAATATTATATTTTATTGTATATTGTTTCATAGGAATCACCATATATAAAGAAAAAGACAAAAAAATACCAAGAAATACATTGCATAATTAGCTCTAATTAGCAAATTTCTAATTAAAAAAAATATGTTAACTATGCAATATTGTAGATCTTATAGACATCTATCACCAAGTCAAATTTGGAGTCGATCTCAGTTTAAGTTGCTGAGATCTTAGGGGGGAGAGGGGGCCTTTTACCCCCCCCCCCCCTATTTTTTGAAAGTTTCAAAATAGTCCAGTCTTTTTGGGGGCGAAACGTCTGGCAGTGGCCATTAATGATACAAGGAGTTGTTTTCCATAATTTCCACCCAGTTTCAACCGGTTATCTTTGTAGCCATTGTACCACTTTTTTCAAGTCTTTATTATTCTCACTGTGAGTATAAGATGGGCATTTGGCTTTTTTTGGGGGGGGGGGGGTCCGGCGCGGGCACAAGCCACAACTTAAAACGTCTGGTATTGGTAATTCAAGGTACAGGGTGCAATGTTCTACAATTTCCACCAGGTTTGATCCATTTATTATTTTCGCTAATATAGCTCAATGTCGGACCCCCTGACCGCCCTCACCACTCTGTGCACGACTGACATCAATCTACTGACACACTTTTGTTCATGGATCATGCTGTGTATATATGAACGCTTTCCGTTCTCTCCCCCTCTCTCTCTCTCTCTCTCTCTCTATCTCTCTATCTTTATCTTTCTCCTCTATCTCTCTCTCTCTCTCTCTCACACACACACACACACACACACACAACACACACAAAAACACATACGCACAAGGGTCTTTCGTAGTCTGTGATGACATTTTAAACCCTTTCCACTTGTATATGTTTAATTCCTGTTCTATCATTCTCGTCATTATTTATAAAATGAGTTGATAATACCCCCATGTCTTTTGTACGCACTTCCATTCTTTAAAACAATGTGGGCTCGATAGGCCTACTCCATGTCCGTCATTCACTGTTTTCGAAGCATTTTGGGATTCTCGGTTTTCATAAGTTTTTATTTCGCTGTTCATATTATTGGAGAGCTCGTACCACGTTTCTTGGCACCCCGAGATGAATCACAGCGCGTTTACAGCGACATGTCATCTCAAGATGCCCCCAAGCAATGAGGTGTGAGCTTTCACAACGTATGTACAGTGAAACAAAGACATCACCGTTACTCACAACCCTCTCAGCCATCATACATATCCACACGTGTGTGTGTGGGTGTGTGTGCGTACGTGTGCGTTTGCGTGAGTGCGTGTATTTATGTGTATATAATATATATATTTGTTTGTTAAAAAATCTTACCCTTTTGAGATGAAACCAAGATCATACGTTTTGGTAGGAAATTTTGATTCTAGGGCTATGTGAGAGACATTGCCGTTTTCAAGATTTGCTTCTTTTTTGTGCACCCCTATTTACGGTTGAAGCAGGGAGAAATATACGCATGACGATTTTCCATACAATAAGCTGTGTTGAACGCAGCAATAGGAGACGCACAAGTCCATTGAAATAACAATATATTGATATTTTAGAATAGTTTGCTATCATGTAATTATAAATAAAGTAATGATAAATAATAATGTTAATGAACTAATAACAATGACATATAATCAGAATATAAAAACACCTTGGTATCAACCCAATGCCTTTGTGTACATCAGTCATTACGCACGTGAGGACAACGGAAAATAGTAAACCAACAAATTGTTCTTCTTGAAATAGATAGATCATGTTTTAATGAAAGAGTATATACGTAAATACAGGGTAGGAAACTTTGCTCAGTTATATAAGCATGTCGGTTTGAGATGAATCTCTACAAAAACAAAGTAACGAATAATATTATCTTTATAGCAAAATATCATCATAATAAAACCGTGTTTATACAATTGTATATTAGATGAACGTTTGAAAAAAAATGGAGAAAGAAAGAGGGAGAGAGAGAGAAAGAACTGGGGATATTCGGGGGAGCTTGTTAGCACGTTTTGCGACACGTGACCCCCCCCCCCCCCCCCCCCAGATGGATTGAGAATCCTGAATCGTTGATCTTTTCTTTCACACTCTCTCGTTCAGATATGACACAGTAAACCGCAGCAAAAGTTACAAATATTGCTGCGCGTTTTTACTGAGCTAAATGTTATGAGATACAGAAAAGTGACGATTATTACATTTTGCGCCATGATGAAAAACCACCCGATTATGCCGCGTCATTTCTGATCGAAGCCTAATGAAGATGGTTTCTCTTCAAAGGAATTAAGTTTTGGTTAAAGCAATTAGCACAGTGGTTAGAAACCTAGGGTTAGTAAACTTGAGGCAAATTCGTCATTTATGGGGTAGGGGACGGCACAGGAATGCAACTTTTGTCAAAGTGTCGAGTCTCTCGGCGGTGGTATCACTTCTTAGTGACATCGTGTGTGGCACATGATAGTCGGAAATTTATAGTAAAATGAGTAGTTGGTGGGAATGTTTGCGGATTTGCAAAAAGGGAATTTGATTTGATGAAATGGGGTGATATTTTTCACAAACATGTGAAAGCATATATTTCTTTTCTTTCTCGAAAACAAGCTGAGGGGGGCTTCTAAACACAAGGATTATATCTAGAGCCTAATCTTTGTACCAGCTCTTGTGCAGAAGGGATCATGTTTTCCCTATTTGTGGTTGAAATGTTCTTGAAGGTATGCACAAAAGGGTCCTTTTCAACTCCGTTGTAACGATCACTATTACCACCTTTTAATATGAAGTGACATCACCCAAGCGTTAATGAATAACGGTCAAGCGAACGTGCAGAAAAAGCCTCTAATATCTTAGCTCCCAGTCCGCCCCAAGTTCAGTGTGTCCGCTGCCTTATATCATCTATTTGTCCTTGAGTTCGGCCAGGAGATCAGATAGAGCCTGGAGGATATCTTTCGTCTTCAAGTCATCATCAGTTTTGCCATCGGATACTGGTGCAGCAGCCATCTGTTTGAAAATATTAAAAGACGATGATAATGATAATGATGATACTCCTACTGACAGCGTGAGCAAAGTCATTGGTTGTGTCCAGGGGTCAGAGCCTCCGGAAGCTGGGGGTTTTATGCATTAAATTACGGTCAGAAGAGTATCCAGGGGCCCGCCTATGGGCCCTTGGTTGGGTCAAGGGGGCAGAGCCCCCGGAAGCTTAGGGGTTTCAGGCGTTTAATCACGGTCAGATGAGCAATTGTTTAATACCTTACTAGTGACACTGGCAGGACACTAATTTGCGTGGGATCAAGGGGGCGGAGCCCCCAGAAGCTCAGGGGTTTTAGGCATTATTTAAGTTACCGTTAGATCAGCCTGGAGGACATCTTTCTTCTCCTCAGGGCTGGGATTCGAAACCTCAACCCTTTGATTGAGAATCAAGTGAACGACACATCCGCGATACGTCATCGGACTGTGGATCACAATATTGGGTCGCAGTTCGAGTTCCGCCACGGCGCTAATGTCCTTTAACAAGTCATCAATCTACACTTGCCGCTCTCCACTCGGATGGAAGTAAATGGGTTCCTTGTAGAAATGCATTCATTGTTTTGAGCGCCTTATAGCAGCTTGGGAAAAGCTAGGGTGTAAAAAAGTGGTACATTTTATGCGCCGCGAGCATTTTCTGGGATTGATATGTGCGCAATATAAATTCAGCTCTTATTATTTTTGTTTTAATTTTGTATAAGTATCATTAAGAGTTAATACGTTGCTCGTTGAAGCATGTATGGATTCGTTCAATCAAAGCATCATTGGAAAGTACAATAGTTGTAAATTATGAAATAATTATCATCATCCTGCTCATAGTTCGTTCATAGGAATCGTTTGTCTTCGGATTTTTTCTGGAATGCGCTTTATATACAGTTCATAACTAAATTATTCAGAGCCTTATCAAGTTTTGTAATTTTAGCGAATGTGAATTTGTTTGGTTACATTTGTTATGATACTTGTATATGCTTATATGTACATATGAAGAGGTGCCGTGGTCTAGTGGATATGTCACTGGACTGTGGATCACAAGGTCCATGGTTCGAGTCCAACCGAGGCAATAATGTCCTTTGGCAAGACATTAATCTACATTTGCTACACTCTACCAAAGTGAGGTAAATGGGTACCTGGCAGGAATTAATTCCATGAAATGCTAGGGCGCCGTAATGGTAGCCATGCTAAAGCTCTTTGGAAGCGCAAATAGACGCTATATTGTGATATGCGCTATATAAGAGCCGACTATTATTAATATTATTATAAAGTATTCCATAAAGGCCCATATTCACTTCGTCCACATTTCATTCTTCAGTTATTAAATATATTTCATGACGAAGAGTAACCTGTTTTCTGTCCAATGATACCCTATTCATAATATTTGTGCCAAGTTTGGGCTTATAGAACGAATGTGGGTCAGGCCGTATTCTTCGGTCTTAAATCCTCTTACAAGTTAAATTATGCCTCGTGTTTCAGTGCTTCATTGTTTAAAATGATTAAGGGGCGGTCGAGCAACTTTCAAAGTGGGAGGAGGGGCACCAAGAAAAAAGGCACCTATAAAGGGAAATCTCAGAGCTAAAATATGCATTTGTTTAGACATTGGTATATTCCCTTACATTGTGATTTCAATATTGGCTTCACTTTATACACCATACAAGATATTGCTTAAGCATCATTTTTTGGAGTTGGATGTGATGGTCTGAAAATTTATTTGCGAGCGAGTAAAATTTTAATATTCGTGAGGTCGCAGGGCGAAAAATTACATCTTATAAAGAGGAAAAAACCCAATCCTGATGGGGTTATAAGCACATTCTCATAACGGAAGACTGAAAAGGCCTTTGATAAGTAACATAAGTATATAATCTATAGATGCATGCGAGAGTAGCGAGCGAACTTTGGGTGAAATTGCTCCTAGTCGCTTGAAATTAGGGGCGCGTTTAATGATGAGAGGAAAATGGGACACTTATCACAAAAGAAAAGGAGCATGTGTCAAAGTACAAAGAGTAATTGTCGACGGAAAATGGGCTCCCATCAGATTTTGATAGGGGCATTTATATAAGGTAAAAAGGGGCATATATGAAAGGGAATTGGTCCCTTATTAGAAACGAAGAGGGCACGTATCGTTGTTAAAAGAAAATTATCTGAAGTGAAAAGGAGTAACTTCTCGTACCTGAAAAGGGTCATTTACCAGAGAAAGGGCACTCATGAGATTGGAAAATGGACGCTTATTGCAAAGAAAAATGGAAACTTGTCGGAGGAAAAGGGGCACGCTACCAAATAAAAAGGCACTTATTAGAGTTGAAAAGTTGAAGGGCAGTTTTGCCAATTAATAGTGGCACTTGTCAAATTAAAAGGGGCACTATTCCTATGTAAAAAGAGGCACTTTTCCTGTGTAAAAAGGGGCACTTTTCGGGTGCGTGAAAAAGTGGGGGCACTGTGCCCCCTGATCCCCTCCTCCCGGGTGGGCCGCCCCTGAAATGATACAATGTATCTAGGCTGTCGCAGAACCTTGTTTCAATCCAAAGGATAACCTTCAATGATTTTGAACAGCCTGTCGCGTGATATAGTTCTCTCTGCTCATTTTCCGTTGCGGCAGTTCACACGCATAAGGAACGTTTTAATCTCGAATAGCGATTGAAAACTCGAAGGTTACTAAACCCAAATGTAAGAAAGAACACATATGACGATAAGTATGAAATAAATCGACCGTAGACTTTCATAAAAAAGATAACTCCCAAAATAAAATTTATCCATTTTTGTATCACCCAATGAAAAACGTTAGGGATGCGAATGAAGTCAAGATTGTAATCATCATAGTGAAGTAATTATCATAAATTTATCTTGTAATATTCATTTGCTTCAGTTTGAGTTGGTATTAACACAATTTCTGTGTAACTGCCTCATAGTCAGTGACTGCCAATGCTAATAAGTGAGCAATTGTTTTGGAATGAGATAACACACACATAATGGCTTTTGACCCACATTCATTGCTTCAGCCCAAACTTGGTACAAGAGGACTTTGACAATACTTTTAAAAAAGCCTGCTGCCCAGTCATCCGTGGCAGCACACTTATGAATAGGGTTTTATTATACAGTGCGTCCCAGAAAAAACGAAACCGAGAATTATCGATGTTTTATCATAACTTAACCACAATTATAATTGATAAGTGACACATATTTGGGAAGCATAGATCCTCTTCTTTCATTTGATGCAACTCATATAATGACTTAACTCCGTTTCGTTGACAATTAGCCGTAGACGAAAGACTTCATGCATGGCTGATTGTCAACGAAACGGAGTTAAGTCTGTTGTCAATTCTGCTTGTTTCTACGGCAGGCAGCCAGTGAAAACGAATTTGTTTGATAACATTATGGAAATGCAAGCACTACTTTAAACAAACAGAACTTTGTCATTCCTTGCTCATTTTTCCTGATTGAGGTGTCATATGAAAGGGCAGAAACTCAACTTTCTAGGAATGTGATTTTCTCTTTGAAATTCAGATACCGTCCGCCAAATGACTTTTTGGTTTCCTCTCTTCAAATTCATTTTAATCACTCATGCGTGAAATATGCATCATATGAGTTGCGTCAAATGAAAGAGGAGGATCTAAGCTTTCCAAATATGTGTCATTTATTAATTATAAATGAGACTAAGTTATGATAAAACATCGATAATTCTCGGTTTCGTTTTTTCTGGGACGCACTGTACAGGGTATTAGTAACCCTTTACAATAAAATGTGATTTCATGTCACATAGGTTACAACTTTTTAATTAGAAGCTACCAACATTGGGAACAATTTTTCGATACGTACTGTTTATATACAGTGTGAGTAAAAAAAAAAAGTTTACACCTAGAAAATTGCTAATTATTTAAAAAATCATCGATGAACATTAAACTGTTATATGTCTCATGAAGAGTGTTTTATCCCAAATCATTTGGTAACATTTTTGTGTGGTATGTGTTCACGCTTGGATGAACAGGAGACATTGTTTGCGAGAGTGCAAACATCGACTTGCGCCAAAGTTGCCTATGTGATATTTGAATAAAACAATTGGGAGTTGGGTATTATTCGGTCTTTGCAGATCCAAATAACACCCCTAACAAAATTAATCATGCCACACATATCAAATATCGAATATCAAATATCGAATATCAAATATCAACGAACATTTGTGCGCGTGTGTGTGGGTGTGTGTGATTTGCCCTTGGCAAAAAAACATATGCATTTCATTTGATACATTCAATCCATTGTCTCACTCCGCTAATACCAACATAATACATACTGAAGGCATCACTTTGGCGCAAGTCGATTTTTGTACCCTCGCAAACACTGCCACCTGTTCATCCAAGCATGAACACATACCACACAAAAATGGTACCAAATGATTTGGGATAAAACACTCTTTCATAAGATGTATAATAATTTACTGTTCATAGATGATTTTAAAAATAATTAGCAATTTGCTAGGTGTAAACTTTTTTTGACTCACACGGTATATGAACGCACACATGGTACATTTACTACATGCAGTCTAAAGCAATACATCTTTTTAAAATCAATTATTATCTGTCTTTTAAGAATATCCTTACCTGTTCTTCTTTTTTAAGATAGAACTCCACATCCTCCAATTGGCGTTTTTTGTCTGATAAAATATTTAAGGAAAAGGGAGAGAAAAAAAATCAAATCATTCTTGTTGCATTATTTGTATTTGTAAAAAGAACCTATTTTTTCATTGAATATGCATAACGTCGGCATCTGAATGAGAGCTACTTTCCGTCAACAGTAATTTGATAATCAATTATTTCTTGAACCTCCTTTTTTTGTTTTAATCGTTCAATTCTACAAACCCTAGTAGCAATAATTCTAATTTTACATATATTTATGAAATGGCTAACCATACAATCTTAGCTATAATGACAATGAAAATACTGCTAGAATTGAATTTAAAATCACATAAACGGTTACCGAAGAAAATGGAAAAACAACTACCCATGTTCAGCAAAGTTTGTCCGCGGTCCATCACCTGCACTAACCAAATTGATAACTTAAAATCCGGGCAAAACACAAAAAGTTAACCATATCAGTCAAAACGCATCCATAAAACGCTTTCTCACACCCTTACTCTAATCCTATATTTAGCTGGTCGCGGTTCTAGAAGATTTCTTCTTGTTTATTTTTTGGACGGGGTGGGGCCTTGGTGGCCTTTTGGCTCTAACATTGATTGTCTGCACCTCCTTATTGCCTGAATTTATTATGATCGACTTGTTTTGGGGTGGGCGAGGTCGAGGGCTTGAAAATTTGTATTTATTAATTTGTAATTGTTTAGAGGCAGGGGATTTGAGCCCACTGTACCCCCCCCCCATTAGAATCGCTACTGCCGTGATGACGAAACCAAGCACGGAAGAATAGTTATCGGAGCAGGATTAAAAGTCATATTTTGTTCGGAGATTTAAGTGACTTACCATCTTGACATATCACTCCAGCATCCTCACGATGATAGCAATTGTGACTCTCGATAGCGTTCTTCCGACATTCCATGATTGAAGTTTCGTCGCCTTCACACTCCACATTGTCCAGAAGAATAGGGCCTGTGCCTTGGCCGAACCGGGCCCCTGACGTGGCGGCAGTAGCTCGAGGGAAGCCCAACTGTCTGCACACTACATTAGCGTTCTGAATATCCCAAAGATCGTGGCATACTGTTCCCCATCGTCCATTGGCATAGACCTCGACTCGACCTTGATTGGCGGAGCTACCTGGTCCGACAAGTCGCACTAAAATGGCTATTTGCATTGAATATATGAAAAGAAATAATTCTGCAATTAAAAATTGTCAATAATTTGGCTAAATAATAATGCCACTTAACGCGACGTAACGCCTCGTATCACTGCAAACGTATCAGGACAATAACACCCTGGGCAATCATCCCCCGAGGACAATTACCCCTGGAAAATTACCCCCCCCCCCGAGAATAATTACCCCAATCCCTGAAAATAACACCTAGGACAATTACCCCCGCCTCCAGGACAAGCAACCCGATGAGAATTTACCCCCCCCCCCCCCCGAAATCACCTCCCTCCTCTGTTCGTTAACGGTCTGTTATAGGGTCAAAGTTAGTGCCGGACTGGGTTTCGAACCCTAAACCCCAGAATTAAGAGTAAAGTGAATGAACCACTTTACCATGAAACCATTATAACCAAAACCAGTTCTCTCCACAATGCCTCTATGCCATAAATGATATATGTACCTATATTCATATTTTCCACACATCCATCATGAAAGATGAACTAATGTGAGCAAAACAATTGTCCATGTTTGAATTAACAATGGACCAATTACAACAAAATGGATGCATGTATAATTTGTAGGTTCATGGCGCCTACACAATATTGTCATCCCCCTAGCTTTAAACCAGCTGCTCTAAGGCGTGACAATCATTCAGGGGATAATATCCCACATTGTACCCATTTATTAAACCTGGGTGGAAGGTGACAAATTTAGATCAATGTCAGGCCAAAACACATTAGCGCCGCGACAGGACTCGAACCGCGAACCATGCGATCCACGATTCGGTGAGATATCCAGTCTAGACCACTACCATTCTACGTAAATCCCTGCCTTAGCATAAGTTACAATATGTAAAAAGCAGCAAACTTCGAATTAGTTTGCTGGTATCCCGTAGGGTACCGCATGATGGTGAATACTGGTAATGACTACCATTGGAAAATGTGTGTTCACAAAAAAATATATACACATGTTTATTAGAGAGATATATGTATACATCCCTCGTAAGATGGGTTGATAAGTACGACCCATGATTGGCGAAAGCTTGTCCGTGGTCCATATCCTGTACTAACCGAATGTCTAACTTTTAATCAGGGCCAAACACAAAAAAGGTAAAACTATGAGTCTTAACACCTCCATAAAACCCTTTCGCACACCCTTACTCTAGTCCTATATCTAGCTGGTCGCGGGTCTACAAGATTTCATCAGGTGAGCTGTAAATAATACAGACCACCTTATATTTTTGTTAAAATCGCCTTCATTATTTATTATTTATCAGGTGGGCTGTATTTAATACAGGCCACCTTATGTTATTGTTAAAATCGCCTTTATTTATTATTTATTTATTTTTATTTCGACCCACTTTTTGTGTGCCAAATAATTTGAAAATGGCTCTATCAAATGCCTTAAAATTCGGCACATATATGTATAGGCATATGGACAGAACGCAGCAAGGTTTTCAACCTTGACCTTGACTGATGACGTCATCTAGACGCCATTTTGTGAAATTTTCTGAAAATCAACTAATGATCATATCTTCATAACGGAAAATCATTTCTCACTCATATTTATCATGATCAAGGTCAATATCCCTCCGGTCATTTTCATGAAAAAAAATCAAGCGCGTACGCGTATGTCCGCGCGTTAATGCGCGCGCAAAAATTAAAATGCTCAAAATAGTCTCAAAATAATTTTGTATACGTTTTAGGCCATTTTAAGCATTTTATTAAGAAAATCGCGCACACGCGCATGCGCGCGCGTTTTCGCGCGTAACCCCAGTACACAACATAGGATCACCATATTTTTTCTTACATGATATTTCCCATATTTTTCCAAACAATTTGATACCATGTTTATCTCTTTATGACCATTAATAACAAGATGAGAATCCATTCAAGATAAATGTCCGTGCGCGCGAGCTCTTATAATTCATAGCATATATGGGAAAAAACAGGCCTATACAAAATCCATTATATACCTCACTTAAGTAATCCAGCAATCTGATTGGTCGAAATTGCATTCATAAACTTTAACTGTTCCTGTAAAAACAGACCTATTTTTCCAATAACCATGGTCAGCATATTTATGGAAAATTGATTGTATCTCTGTAAAAAATTAATCAATTTTCTTCCATATTTCCATATGTAGTAGCTAAGACGATCCTCACAAACTCAGTTAACACAATTTTTCATTTTGATGACGTCATCATAGTGAAAATTTTGATTAAAGGCCATATGTCAGAAATTAGATAATAATAAATAAGGAAGTTGAATTTAGTTCACGTCATGAATCTACATGACATTGTTTTTTTAGCAGTATCTCGCTTATTTTTCCTCTTTTTTTGTCTCAAAATTTAGTTGGAACAGCCCGCCTATACTTGTTCCAAACAAGTATTACATGTCTATTCTTGTTTATTTTTTGGACGGGGTGAGGCCTTGGTGGCCTTTTGGCTCTTACATTGATTGTCTGCACCTCCTTTTTGGGGGAATTAATTATAATCGACTTGTTTTGGGCTGGGCGAGGTCTAGTGCTTGAAATTGTTTTAAAAAATTATTTGTTATTTGTTTAAGGGCAGGGAATTTGAGCCTCCTGTAATCCCCATCCCCCTTAAAATCGTTACTGCCTAGATGACGAAACCAAGCACGGGAGAATAATTATCGGAGCAGGAGCAAAAGTCGATGTTTGTTTGGATATTTAAGTGATTTACCATCGCTACATATCACTCCAGCATCCTCATGATGATAGCAATTGTGACTCCTGATAGGGTTTTTCCGACATTCCATGATTGAAGTTTCGTCGCCTCCACACTCCACATTGTCCAGAAGAATAGGGCCTGTGCCTTGGCCGAACTGGTCCCGTGACGAAGTAGCTCCACGGAAGCCCAACTGTCTGCACACTACAAGAGCGTTCCGAATATCCCAAAGATCGTTGCATACTGTTCCCCATTGTCCATTGTCATAGACCTCGACTCGACCTTGATTGGCGGAGCTGCCTGCTCCGGCAAGTCGCACATCTGAAAAGGATATTTGCATTGAATATATGAAATGAAATAATTTTGCAATGGTCATTAAAAATTGTTTATAATTTGGCTAAATAATAATGCCACGTAACGCGACGTAACGCCTCGTATCATTGCGAACGAATCAGGACAATAACACCCTGGGCAATCATCTCCCGAGGACAATTACCCCTGGAAAATTACCCCCCTCCCCGAGAATAAAAAACACCTAGGTCAATTACCCCCTGCCCCCAGGACAAGCAACCAGATGAGAATTCCCCCCCCCCCCTCCGGAATCACCTCACTAACCTGTTCGGGGAAGTCCAGCCTGATAATAAGCTGATTTTAATATATGCAGATTTGTTAGGGGGGTGATTGCCTAGTGGGTAATTGTTCTAGAAGCCACTGCAATATCGCCACATAACACCACGTAAATCCAGGTATCGCCACGTTTAGGTAACGTAAGGCCATTTAACGCAATGGTTACCACGTAAGTAACACCATTTCTTTCAACGTATTGTGAAGGACTGGAATGAACTGGTATTTTAAAGATAAACTTGAGTTCTGGTTATAAAAAAAAGTGAGTGCTTGTTACTTTACCACCAACTTTACACACCAATGCTTACATGCTACATGATCAACTTGTTCAGATCCATTCCACACCTTTTCTTTCACAATGCAATCGCGTGACCGGAACTCAACTTAATCTTGAACTATATTAACAGGATAGAGTAACCGCTGCGGTATTTTGGTATGACGCATGAATAAATGACAAAAATGAATATTACCCCAAAATTTACGTCGGACTAATTTACACTTTGCCGGATATGTAAAAAGGTGTTAATCTCTACAAAGAGCCATAGCCAGAACTCAACTGTATATTTGAAATAACAACCTTTTACCAAATATAAGAGGTGGACCAATGAAACATGTTCTTACCTCCATCTCGAACAACTGTGGAATATGAAGAAAAAGTAAAAGAAAAAGAAAAAAGAGTTGCATGAATAATGTTTATAAAGCAATCGCCGTATAAGTACTCTCGATAATGTTAAAAGTGCATAATACATATATAGACTCAAGAGAATCGAACTTCCTGCTTCTGAGTTTATCGCATACACATTCATTACTTGTAATGATGATGATGATGATGAGGATGATAATCAAAATAATAATCATGATGATAATAATAATAATAATGATGATAATGATAACTACATAAACAACTATCGGAGAGGGCCTTAAAGGTAATACAAAGTTTTGGTATGGGGTCATGAATTTGGTTCAAATGAACATATTGGAAGCATATGCGATCCTACAATATTCAGTGATCGTTGTCGCGGTTGAAATCGAGTCTAAAGTGATGAAATTGTAAATAATAAACTCTTTATGTTGTATAGCGCCCTCTCAAGGTCAAGATATTGATTTAGCTATAAAACAATGTTATTTGACTAAAATCGACAAATTTTCTATTACCATTTAGAATATATATATCACAACTGCATATTCTGAGATTTTCTTGGTCGCAGCTACCGTCGTATGGCCGTAGTCGCTATTTGAAATTTATCAAAATTTACCGGGAGCACCGGTAAATGTTTATATTCAATTTTTCTCGAAAGTAGAAGTGTTTTAGGGGCCAATTTTTTTAGTGCTTATAATACATCCATAGGGGCATCCAAATATATGAACATTGTAAAGAATCACTTTCCAGCCAATTTTCAAAAATTACCAAAACTTTGAAATACCTTTAAGCCGTCCCGACGCAACGCGTCGATCCTCTGGTTACTAACTAATAAGCATTTATTTATGATTTATTAGCAGTCAGGTAAAATCACCATTACTACTTCTACTACATCAACAAAAGTAACAACTATAACAATACTACTTTTAACCCCCCCCCCCCCCCCCGCCCACCAAGGACAATTATTTCCTGGAAATTTAGCCCCGCCGAGAACAATAACGCCAAAAAGACAACAACCCCCCGGAAAATTAACCCCTAGAAAGACCAGCCCCCGAAGATAATTAACCCCATCCCTGAAAATAACCCCAAGGACAATTACCCCCCGCCCCCGAAATAAACCCTCTTCGGTTCATTAAAGGGAAAGTCCATCCTAAAAATAAGCTGATCCTAATATATGCAGTTTTTTAGGGGAGGGGGGAGGGGGGGGGGGTAATTGTCCTCGGGGTGAAACTGTCCCCGGGGGTAATTCGTCGCGGGTAATTTTCCTTTGGGATAGTTTTCCGGGGGGAATTTTCCCGCCGGAAAACTTGACCAGGGGGTAATCGTTCTAGAAACCACTGCGACGTATCGCCACATAACCCACGTAAATCCAGGTGTCACCACGTAACGTCACGTAAGGCCATTTAAAGAAATGTATTACCACATTACAATGGTTACCACGTAACGCAACGTAACAGCACGTAACACCATTTCTTTCAACGTATTTTCATGTACTGGAACGAACTGGTATTTTATATTATATTCCACATACTAAGAATCTTGCTCTACGATTGGTCAAAAGTAAATCACGTGATGAAAGATAGATCGCCCATTATTGATGGGAGAAGCAAAAAGTTCGTTACACTGTGTAGATAGTACTACTTTCTACACAGTGCAATGCACTTTCACTGAAGATAGAGGTACTATCTACACAGGGCAACGCACTTTCACTGAAGATTATCCAAAAGCGCACTAAAACAGGCGTAATTAAGCGCGCATTACCAATGAGCGCAATTAAAACAAACACATGCGCGCACCGTACCCTCAAGGGGTTGGGTTAAACTACTATTTAACTTTTTTGGTGTGAATTTGGGCATGGTGTCTTTTATGTAGATGCATACTCGTCCTTTTCTTTTTGTAGTTAAATTGTTTTAGATGTGGAATATGAAGCAAATAATCACCTTTTGGTTTCAGGCGATGGCAAACTATCACTTCCTCGTCGATCAGAATGTATGCGCTATCTTTCCTCAGCTCGCTTCGGAGAGATAGCTACATCCAGATCGCCTCGGAAGTGATAGTTTGTCCCATCACCTTCACCGACGGTAGTTATTTGCTTATTAGCAGGATAACGTAACCGCTGCGGTATTTGTGTATGACGTATGAATAAATGACAAAAATGAATAATACACCTTAGTTTACGTCAGACTAATTCAAACTTTGCCGGTTATGTAAAAAGGTGATAATTTCTACAAAGTGCAATAACCAGAACTCGACTGTATATTTAAAATGGCAACCTTTTACCAAATATATGATGTGGACAAATGAAAAATCTTCTTACCTACATCTGGAACAACTGTGGAATATGAAGCAAAGAAGAACAACAAAAAACAGAGTTGCATGAACATTTAATCTCATAATTATTTTATTGATATCGCCATATAAGTACTCTCGATATTGTTACAAATACATGATACAATATAGACTCAAGAGGATTAAATTTTCTGCTTCTGAGTTCATCGAATACACTTTCATTGCTTGTAATGATGATGATGATGATGACGACGATGATGATGAAAATAATAATAATAATCATGATGATGATAATAATAATAATGATGATAATGATAATTACATCAACAACTATCGGAGAGGACCTTAAGCCGTCGGTCCTCTGGTTACTTACTAACACGCATTTATGCTTTCTTAGCAGTCAGGTAAAATAATCACTACTAATACTACATCAACAACAGTAACAACTATAACAATACTACTTTTACCCCCCCCCCCCTCCCCCCGGACAATTATTACCCGGAAATTTACCCCCGTCGAGGACAATTACGCCCCGAAGACAATAACCCCCCCCCCCCCCCCCCAGAAAATTAACACCCGGAAGTAACACCCGAGGTTATTTACCCCCATCCCTGAAAATAACCCCAAGGACAATTACCTTCTGCCCCTGAAAACACCCCTCCCTGTTCATTAAGGGGAAGTCCAGCCTGATAATAAGCTGATTTTAAAATATGCAGTTTTTTAGGGGGGGGGGGTGGGTGATTGTCCTCGGGGGGAGATTGTCCCCGGGGGTAATTCGTCGCGGGTAATTTTCCTTGGAGATAGTCTTCCGGGGGGAATCTTCCCGCCGGAAAACCTGACCAGGGGGTAATCGTCCGAGAATTCCCTGCGACGAATCGCCACATAACACCACGTAAATCCAGGTGTCACCACTTAACGTCACGTGAGGCCATTTAAAGAAATGTATTACCACGTAACAATGATTACCACGTAACTCAACGTAACACCAAGTAACACCATTTCTTTCAACGTATTTTCATGTACTGGAACGAACTGATTTTTTATATTAACAGAATAACGTAACCGCTGTGGTATTTGTGTATGACGTATGCATAAATTAAAAAATGAATTATACCCCGTAGTTTACGTCAGACTAATTTACACTTTGCCGGTTATGTAAAAAGGTGATAATTTCTCTACAAAGAGCCATAACCAGAACTCAACTGTATATTTGAAATGACAACCTTTTACTAAATATATGAAATGGACAAATGAAAGATCTTCTTACCTACAGCTGGAACAACTGTGGAATATGAAGCAAAGAAGAACAACAAAAAACAGAGTTGCATAACAATTTAATCTGATAATTATTTTATTGATATCGCCGTATAAGTACTCTCGAAAATGTTACAAATACATAATACAATATAGACTCAAGAGGATTAAATTTCTCGCTTCTGAGTTCATCGAATACACTTCCATTGCTTGTATTGATGATGATGATGATGATGACGATGATGATGAAAATTGTAATAATAATCATGATGATGATAATAATAATAATGATGATAATGATAACTACATCAACAACTATCGGAGAGGACCTTAAGCCGTCGGTCCTGTGGTTACTTACTAACAAGCATTTATGCTTTCTTAGCAGTCAGGTCAAATAATCACTACTTCTACTACTACTACTACTACATCAACAACAGTAACAACTATAACAATACTACTTTACCCCCCCCCCCCCCCCGGACAATTATTACCCGGAAATTTACCCCCGTCGAGGACAATTACGCCCTGAAGACAATAACCCCCCAGAAAATTAACACCCGGAAGTAACCCTCGAGGTAAATTACCCCCATTCCTGAAAATAACCCTAAGGACAATTACCCCCGCCCCTGAAAACACCCCTCCCCTGTTCATTAAGGGGAAGTCCAGCCTGGTAATAAGCTGATTTTAAAATATGCAGTTTTTTAGGGGGGGGGTGGGTAATTGTCCTCGGGGGGAGATTGTCCCCGGGGGTAATTCGTCGCGGGTAATTTTCCTTGGGGATTGTTTTCCGCTGGAAATTTTCCCGCCGGAAAACTTGAACAGGGATGATCGTTCTAGAAGCCAGTGCGACGTTTCGCCACATAACACCACGTATAATCAGGTGTCACCACGTAACGTCACGTGAGGCCATTTAAAGAAATGTATTACCACGAAACAATGATTACCACGTAACCTCACGTAACACCATTTCTTTCAACGTATTTTTATGTACTGGAACGAACTGGTATTTTATATTAACAGGATAACGTAACCGCTGTGATGTTTGTGTATGACGTATGCATAAATTAAAAAATGAATTATACCCCTTACTTTACGTCAGACTAATTTACACTTTGCCGGTTATGTAAAAAAGTGATAATTTCTCTACAAAGAGCCATAACCAGAACTCAACTGTATATTTAAAATGGCAACCTTTTACTAAATATATGAAGTGGACAAATGAAAAATCTTCTTACCTACAGCTGGAACAACTGTGGAAAATGAAGCAAAGAAGAACAACAAAAAACAGAGTTGCATGAAAATTTAATCTGATAATTATTTTATTGATATCGCCATATAAGTACTCTCGATAATGTTACAAATACATTATACAATATAGACTCAAGAGGATTAAATTTTCGCTTCTGAGTTCATCGAATACACTTTCATTGCTTGTAATGATGATGATGATGATGACGACGATGATGATGAAAATAATAATAATAATCATGATGATGATAATAATAATAATGATGATAATGATAATTACATCAACAACTATCGGAGAGGACCTTAAGCCGTCGGTCTTCTGGTTACTTACTAACACGCCTTTATGCTTTCTTAGCAGTCAGGTAAAATAATCACTACTACTACTACATCAACAACAGTAACAACTATAACAATACTACTTGTATCCCCCCCCCCCCTCCCCCCGGACAATTATTACCCGGCAATTTACCCCCGTCGAGGACAATTACGCCCTGAAGACAATAACCCCCCAGAAAATTAACACCCGGAAGTAACCCTCGAGGTAAATTACCCCCATTCCTGAAAATAACCCCAATGACAATTACCCCCCGCCCCTGAAAACACCCCCTCCCCTGTTTATTAAGGGGAAGTCCAGCCTGGTAATAAGCTGATTTTAAAATATGCAGTTTTTAGGGGGTGGGTAATTGTCCTCGGGGGGGAGATTGTCCCCGGGGGTAATTTTCCCTGGGGATAGTTTTCCGCGGGAAATTTCCCCGCCGGAAAACTTGACCAGGGGGTAATCGTTCTAGAAGCCAGTGCGACGTTTCGCCACATAACACCACGTAACGTCACGTGAGGCCATTTAAAGAAATGTATTACCACGGAACAATGATTACCACGTAACCCCACGTAACACCATTTCTTTCAACGTATTTTCATGTACTGGAACGAACTGGTATTTTATATTAACAGGATAACGTAACCGCTATGATGTTTGTGTATGACGTATGCATAAATTAAAAAAATGAATTATACCCCTTACTTTACGTCAGACTAATTTACACTTTGCCGGTTATGTAAAAAGGTGATAATTTCTCTACAAAGAGCCATAACCAGAACTCAACTGTATATTTGAAATGACAACCTTTTACTAAATATATGAAGTGGACAAATGAAAAATCTTCTTACCTACAGCTGGAACAACTGTGGAATATGAAGCAAAGAAGAACAACAAAAAACACAGTTGCATAAAAATTTTATATGATAACTATTTTATTGATATCGCCGTATAAGTACTCTCGAAAATGTTACAAATACATAATACAATATGGACTCAAGAGAATTAAATATCCCGCTTCTGAGTTCATCGAATACGCTTTCATTGCTTGTAATGATGATGATGATGATGATGACGATGATGATGAAAATGGTAATAATAATCATGATGATGATAATAATAATAATGGTGATAATGATAAACTTAAACCCGTGTTTCCTCTGGTTACTTACTAACAAGCATTTATGCTTTCTTAGCAGTCAGGTAAAATAATCACTACTACTACTACATCAACAACAGTAACAACTATAACAATACTACTTGTATCCCCCCCCCCCTCCCCCGGACAATTATTACCCGGAAATTTACCCCCGTCGAGGACAATTACGCCCTGAAGACATAAACCCCCCAGAAAATTAACACCCGGAAGTAACCCTCGAGGTAAATTACCCCCATTCCTGAAAATAACCCCAATGACAATTACCCCCTGCCCCTGAAAACACCCCTCCCCTGTTTATTAAGGGGAAGTCCAGCCTGGTAATAAGCTGATTTTAAAATATGCAGTTTTTTAGGGGGTGGGTAATTGTCCTCGGGGGGAGATTGTCCCCTGGGGTAATTTTCCCTGGGGATAGTTTTCCGCGGGAATTTTCCCGCCGGAAAACTTGACCAGGGGGTAATCGTTCTAGAAGCCAGTGCGACATTTCGCTACATAACACCACGTAACGTCACGTGAGGCCATTTAAAGAAATGTATTACCACGGAACAATGATTACCACGTAACCCCACGTAACACCGTTTCTTTCAACGTATTTTCATGTACTGGAACGAACTGGTATTTTATATTAACAGGATAACGTAACCGCTATGATGTTTGTGTATGACGTATGCATAAATTAAAAAATGAATTATACCCCTTACTTTACGTCAGACTAATTTACACTTTGCCGGTTATGTAAAAAGGTGATAATTTCTCTACAAAGAGCCATAACCAGAACTCAACTGTATATTTGAAATGACAACCTTTTACTAAATATATGAAGTGGACAAATGAAAAATCTTCTTACCTACAGCTGGAACAACTGTGGAATATGAAGCAAAGAAGAACAACAAAAAACACAGTTGCATAAAAATTTAATATGATAACTATTTTATTGATATCGCCGTATAAGTACTCTCGAAAATGTTACAAATACATAATACAATATGGACTCAAGAGAATTAAATTTCCCGCTTCTGAGTTCATCGAATACGCTTTCATTGCTTGTAATGATGATGATGATGATGATGATGACGATGATGATGAAAATGGTAATAATAATCATGATGATGATAATAATAATAATGATGATAATGATAGACCTTAACCCGTCGTTCCTCTGGTTACTTACTAACAAGCATTTATGCTTTCTCAGCAGTCAGGTAAAATAATCACTACTACTACTACATCAACAACAGTAACAACTATAACAATACTACTCCCCCCCCCAGGACAATTATTACCCGGAAATTTACCCCCGTCGAGGACAATTACGCCCAGAAGACAATAACCCCCTAGAAAATTAACACCCGGAGGTAACACCCGAGGTTGATTACCCCCATCCCTGAAAATAACCCCAAGGACAATTATCTCCCGCCCCTGAAAAAACCCCTCCCCTGTTCATTAAGGGGAAGTCCAGCCTGAAAATAAGCTGATTTTAAAATATGCAGTTTTTTAGAGGGGGGTGGGTAATTGTTCTCGGGGAGAGATTGTCCCCGGGGGTAATTCGTGTATGGCGGGTAATTTTCCTTGGAGATAGATTTCCGGGGGCAATTTTCCCGCCGGAAAACTTGACCAGGGGTTAATCGTTCTAGAAGCCAGTGCGACGTATCGCCACATAACACCACGTAAATCCAGGTGTCACCACTTAACGTCACGTGAGGCCATTTAAAGAAATGTATTACCACGGAACAATGATTACCACGTAACCCCACGTAACACCACGTAACACCCTTTTTTTCAACGTATTTTCATGTACTGGAACGAACTGGTATTTTATTTTAACAGGATAACGTAACTGCTGCGGTATTTTTTTTATGACGTATGAATAAATGACAAAAATGAATAATACCCCTCAGTTTACGTCAGACTAATTAACACTTTGCCGGTTATGTAAAAAGGTGATAATTTCTCTACAAAGAGCCATAACCAGAACTCAACTGTATATTTGAAATGACAACCTTTTACCAAATATATGAAGTGGGCAAATAAAAGATTTTCTTACCTTCATCTGGAATAACCGTGAAATATGAAGAAAAGAAGAAAAAAAAAAAGACTTGCATGAAAATTTAATCTAATAATGATTATAATTAAAACGCCGTATAAGTACTCTCGATAATGTTCAAAGTGCATAATACATATATAGACTAAAGAGAATTGAACTTCCTGCTTCTGAGTTTATCGAATACACATTCAGTGCTTGGAATGATGATGATGATGATGATGATGATAATAGTAATAATAATCAGGATGATAATAATAATAATAATGATGATAATGATAACTACATCCAAAACTATCATAGAGGACCTTAAGCCGCGGTTACTTACTAACAAGCATTTATGCTTTCTTAGCAGTCAGGTAAAATCACCACTACTAGTATTACACCAACAACAGTAACAACTATAACAATACTTTTTAACCCCCCCCCACCCCCCCCCCCCCAGGACAATTACGACCCGAAGACAATAATCCCCCGGAAACACCCCCGAGGATACTTACCCCAATCCCTGAAAATAACTCCCAAGACAATTCCCCCCCCCCCCTGGGAATGACCCCTCCCCTGTTCATTAAAGGGGAAGTCCAGCCTGCTGGTAAAATTAGCTGATTTTAATATATGCAGTTTTTTTAAGGGGGGATTGGCCTCGGGGGGATATTGTGCCCGGGGGTAATTCGTCGCGGGTAATTTTCTTTGGGGGTAGTTCTGCGGGGGGGGGGGGAATTTCCCGCTGGAAAACTTGACCAGGGGCTAATCGTTCTAGAAGCCACTGTGACGTATCGCCACATAATACCACGTAAATCCAGGTATCGCCACTTAACATCACGTGAGGCCATTTAACGAAATGTACTATCACGTAACGCAACCTTACACCTCGTAACACCATTTCTGTGAACGTATTTTCACGTACTGGAACGAACTGGTATTTTATATTAGCAGGATAACGTAACCGTTGCGGTATTTTTGTATGACGTATGAATAAATGACAAAAATGAACATTATCCCATAATTTACGTATACTTACCGTATAGCCTGCTGTAAAAAATGCAGAATTTATTTTCACCTCGCGGATATGTGCAGAAAATCTTTCTTAGTCATCACGAAAAAAACCCATAGATATGAAACTTAATGGACTTATACTTAATAAGATACCATATCAATGCAACAAGGTTCAGAAATTTTCGTCATTCCATTTGAAATGACAACCTTTTCCCAAATATATGAAGTGGACAAATGAAAAATGTTCTAACCTGTACTTCGAGGACCTGTGTAGTATAAAGAAAAGAAGAACAAAACAAAAGTTGCATGCAAATTAATCTGGTAATGACTATAATGAAATCGCCGTATTATTACTCTCTATAATTTTAAAGTGCATAATACATATAGACTCAAGATAATTGAACATCCTGCTTCTGGGTTTATCGCTTACACATTCATTGCTTGTAATGATTATGATGATGATGATGATGATGATGATGATGATGATGTTAATATTAATAATAATCATGATGATAATAATGATAATAATTATGATAATGATAATTACTGCTACAATTATCGGAGAGGACCTTAAGCCGTCGGTCCTCTAGTTGATTATTAACAAGCATCTTTGTTTTCTTAGCATTCAAGTAAAATAACCACTACTACTGTTACTACTACTTCTATATCCACAACAGTAACAACTATAACAATACTACTTTTAACAACAGTAAGAAGAAGATTAATAATAACAATGGGTATAACGGATACAAACAGCAGAAGCTCGCAGTGCACTGTGGTCGTCAGCAGTGGCTATACTAGCTGCGCCGGTAGTATACTGGTGTGCACGCTGCCGCCCCATATCTGCTGGAGCTAAATAGAGGCGATCGCGCAAGGACCGAAACGTGGAGAAGTTTTCCGTTGTGAAAATCGTGAATCCTCTGAAATTTGGGGATTCCAAAAGACCAGCGAATGATGAACCTCGACCAGTAAATCAACCGAAAGCTAAAATTGGTTCAAGGAAACCTGTTAGCAAGGAGGCGAATATGTATACGGACCTGGACCAGAAATATCGTACAGAGGGAGGAGATCTTACAATTAGCTGCATGTTATAACTTGTAAAGTTGTAAGAGGGAAATTATGCAGACTATTAATGATATTGATGAAATAGCAAAGAATTTATGGGTACCAATTCATTGGAAACTTGTATTAAAAGGAGCCCCCGTCAGTACTAAAACAGCACACGTGAGCCTTTTCACGGGGGCACTTTTTTGGAAGAGCCCCCGTGGACCAAAAAAATAATTTGAGCCCTGCTAATAATGATAATAATAATAACACAAATAATAATACATATAAATAAGTTGGTATCATTTACCACGGGTAGCCACATCAGTATTAATACTGGTCTTCTTGCGCGTCCTGCAATTATCGTTTTAACATTGACAGGTAAGTACTTTATAAACCTGGGTCGAGAGTAGCTGATACGCGCAGAACAAATTCTCTAAAGATCATTAGATGTAACCAACGAGTATAAAGAATCGAACCTGGGACCTCTCGAATGAACGTTCACCAAATATACCACTGCTTCGTGTGTATCTAGGGTAGCAATGTGATAGAGGGTAGCGTATTCATAGTAAGCTACGCGATTTTTTTTTTGTGTGCCTTAAATTTTAAGGATCACGGTTTCGAGTTGGAGAAGACCTGGCCTAGAAGATTATGGCATTTAATTATAATTTGTTGGTAGGGGAAGGTCAGGGGTTATTTTTCCACTCGTATATCAGCAAAGGAGATTCGATGGACCTCTTCTATATACAAGAAAAAAGAAGAAAAAAAGGAAGTCACCTGATGCTAGAAAAAGTGGTTGAATTAATCCCCGTCAACAACAATATGGTCACTTAGGTCACTTTTTGATCAATACGATCATTTGTATTGATTTTTGTCAGAAATCAGGCCAAAATTTAAGTAAGAATCAGTAAATGATTGGGTTCTGTCATCCAAATTCAATGTGGCCTGACATAAGAACCATGACTAACATTAATGCTAGGTATTTCTACACTGCTGGTTGAATGTACTCAGACAAATCTGATCCCTGATATTTGTTTCGGCAAAATCTTAAGAAACTTCAGATTGTAGAATTTGGAATCATCGGTCCCATTTCAAACAAGTGCTTTATACGCAAAAATCACGAATATAAAGAAAGAAAGTACGCTCCTACTAAGTTTCGATATTGAATCACAAGGATACTATCTGTACAATTAACCTGTGTACAATACTCTACTATCGAGTTTGACTCCCAGGGTTTTATCTCTTCGGACAATACAAAACGACTAAAACAATCCTTAATGAATTTGGTAAACCAACGAAGTTCAAGTTTTTTTCAGGATAACATTTCTAGACAAGCAGTGACCTCTTCAGTGGTTATTCATTATGCAAAAAACAACACCATATATGAAACCCAAACCCTGGTCCGTGCATGGCGTTGCTAGTGTGGTTGTATTAGGCCAGGAGCAACCATACCTGATCAATGCCCATTATCTTTACAACAAATTCATGTTCATGTAAAGCAATATCTTAAGTGGTTGTTGGGAGGTGTCGTAATACTACGGTGACAGTATCAGGATGCAAATTATGATTTGTCTGTATAAACCCTGATTGTTTGTCTTAAGAAGTCACTCATCTCAACATCTTTGGGAGGAAAGGGTGATAAAATAAGAACTTAATATTTACTATATTTCAATATTTTATAAATTTTTCACATTACATGGCTACCGATTCTGTATATTAACTAGCATAAAGATTTTTGAAGTTGTTTTTTATGAATTGTATATGTTTACATTACACTACACTGCATGGAAAATTATTCAGGTCCAGTCCTTGGCTTTTCTTATTGTGTTATATTAAGTATCAGTAAATTGATGTTTCAACGAAAAATCTTCACCCTGAGAAAAGAGATTATTTATGTTTTTCATCGTTTATACAATCCTTTGCAAAGTAGCTCAGAAACTGGTCGTTCGAATTATAAAGAATAAGAGTGACCCCCCACACACACAATTTTATCTCTTACATCTCCAGGGTGCCAACTTTATACCTAATCTTATTCCAGTATTTAATTATGAATTAGCTAGGCCGTTATAATTTAGTTGTTTTTTTCATTGTTGAATCTTTGGAATGTTATTATGAACTTTATCCTAGTTTGAGGTCGCAAAAGGCACCATGATCTTAATTAAACGCATATGTCTGAAAGCAACGCAATCATATGCAATAGAGCAAAGCGACCGAGCTTTAGATTTGTTTTTCTCAGTTTTATGATTTTAAACCCTTCTAAAACAGTCTTCCTCTATGCATATACAAGCACTTTACCCTGGATTGGAGGCTCATGAACCTTAATTAAGCATATTAGTTCTCTTCCTTTTCTTTGCCTCCCCCCCCCCCTTATGCGTTTATTGGGCCCCATCCCTCTGCCCACCCCCTCCCCCCCGCCCCGCCTTGGCAAATAAATGGTCAATATTTAACAATGACACTAACCTTGGCATTTCACTCCTGAATCCTCGGAATGGCGACAATTGGTTCCCCCAACAGTATTCAAAAGGTAAGTACAGTTGGTGATTCGATTCTCAGTGCCGTCACATCTCACGTCGTCGAGGAAGATCTTTTCTGAGCCTTGGCCGAATTCTGCCCCTATCGTAAAGCCAGAAGCACCGCCAGTGTAGCCCAACTGTCTGCAGACCACCTTAGCGTCTTCCAAACCCCAGTAATCGTCGCAAACTGTCCCCCATTCTCCGTTGTAGAAGACCTCTACCCGTCCCATCCACTCGTTGCTACCTGTCCCGACAAGCCGCACATCTAAAAGGAGCACAGGAAGAGAATGCGAGTCACACTCAAAAGAAATTCGGGTATAGTTTGCAGGCTATAAGCACAAATCCTTGCCATTTGTAATGCATAACAGATAGCCTGAGCACAGTGGCGTACGCAGGATTTTTTCAAGGGGGGGGGGGGGGGTTTAAAATCGGGTCCAAAATTTTGCAACGACTCAGGAAAATTTGAAAATCGCGCCGGCCGAAAAGTCGCTCAGTGTGTGTGTGGGAGGGGGGGGGGGGGGGTAAGCGGACACTTTTTTTTTTTTTTGTCTCAAAATTTGAAAAATGGGGGGTTTACACACATAAAAATACCAAAGGAGGGGTTTAACCCCCCAAACACCCCCCCCCCCCCCCTGCGTACGCGCCTGCCTGAGCATAGATATGAGCTAGGAGACTAAGGAGAGTAGTACTACTAATAATAGTGTAAACTTATAGAGCGCACACACCGCCCAGGGAAGCTCACGGCGCTAGCTCATCGACTGTTCTCTTTAATACGGTAAAGGAAATGTTGATTTGATGATAGAGTTATGCCATCAGAAATTCAAAAACAATTATGCAACATTTGTATCACCCATTTCAATCCTCAGCTCTGCATGGTGGGGGCCGGTGCCATCCAGCTGCCCCGTTCACTGACAATTCAAGGGACTATAGCCCAATCAGCACATGATTCACAGGAGCTCTATCATCCGAGGCCACTAGGCCCTACACGGGCAGCCAATGAGACGAAAGGGTGTTAAATAACTAAGTTCAGATGTATATACAAACAAAATATATTATTTAGGGATTAAGTAAATTAAACTTATACAACTTATGGAAATACCGGGTTATAGATGGAATAGGTACGTCTTAAGATGATCTTTAACGATGGAGTATGTTGCAATACAGCAACGTGATGGGGGAAGCTTATTCAATAATTTGGCTGCTGCATGCATGCGAAAAAGCATTGTCTCCCCATGAATGATGGGTACGGGGAAGTTGCAGCAAACTATCACTTCCAGATCTTAAAGGATCAAATCAGCTCTCAATTAATATAAGAAAAGAGGATCATGGGGACCAACAGGCACCGACTTGGGAAGTTTTCTTTATAGAGGGAGCAAGTAGCTACACGTAGTGCAGTGGGGCTTTGAGGTACGAGTTGGATCGGAGGGGTGTAGTGAGTCTTTAATATATTGTTGCGAAATTCCATGGGGGCCCGATAAACAAGTAACATTATTTTGTAGTACCCTTTTCTGGACAGGGAGCCAGGGAGGAGAGCGTATTATCAGCGTAATAGAGGACATTCTTGGTGTAAAAGTAAGGAGTCTTGCACTGGAAATTTGGAGGGATTGCAGTCTGTCTTGCTGCTGTTTGGTGAGTCCAAATAGAATAGAATTACAAAAATCTAAGCGAGATGAGATAAATGCATGGATTAATTGGAAGTTTCGTGGTCGAGTGGTTTAAGGCGTTTGACTGGAAATGTGAAGGTTGAGGGTTCGAATCCCGACACGGTACTTATATCCTTTGGCAAGATATTAACCTACACTTGCTTCTCTCCACCCATGTGTTAAAATGGTTACCCGGTAGGATGCGACCATCGTTTTTGGTCAAACAGTTTTTGAGCGTCAAGTAACGCCTGGCTGGAATGCTCACCAGGGAGTGGGGGTTGTGCACACAGTGTGTGCGGGCAAGCACTGAATCCAAAAAAAAAAAATCAATAAAAAAACCTATAACTAATGCTTTTTCATTAATATTTATTTGTTCATGAAAGTAATTTTAATATAAGTTGTTACATTTTAACAAGACATGAAAAGTAGTTTCTGTTTCTTTACATATATCACACTGGTCATTTTCCATTATACGCCATCTGCATACATTATGTTTTGATGGAAATATCTTATGCAATATTCTAAAATTAACTTGCTTTATACTATTATTACCTATTTGTTGAAATTTAAAATTGAATACTTTCTGCCAATTAAAATAAGCAGGTAAGTTCAAGTAATATTCCCAATAACATGTAACATTTGGTTTTTGAAATTTTTGTTTTAGGAGGAATAAATAATAATGTTTCGTCTTGAAACTAGATAGGCATATATCAACAACATCTCCCGTAGCTACTTCGATTAAATTTGAATCGTTTTGTTTACTACTTAATTGAACATTCTTTAGAACGTATAATTTATTCAACCAATAGCATGGGAAACATTTCTTTAATTATGCGTATTCGAACTCAAATAATAATCGATGAATACCAGCTTTACTATTTAACAGAATCGAGTCTTTCCAACTGCCATTTGTAATCACGGGCTTTACTTTACAAATTCAAGCTACGTACCACTTTGAAAACAATAATGTAGAATTTTTAAATCTAATATGACTGTTTTCCCATAATATCTCCTCTTCTATTTCTGTTACCTCAACTAAAACTCGATATTTAAATTCTGACCATGCAACAAGAAGATTTTGATAAAACTCTGACAGACCATTTTGTATACACAGCATTTTCATATCTTTCTTATTCAAATTATATCGTTAAAAATCTCTGGAAAATTCCAATCCTGTCAATCCAATATCTGAATAAAAATTTCCATCTACAAGTTTCTTTATCCAATAATTTGCTTATCAAATATATATAAATACAAAGAACTTGTTTTCGATTCCATGTCTACGATCTTAAGACCACCATCTAACTGTTTATTTATACAGACATTTCTTTTCATTCTTTCTCTTTCTGAACTCCAAAGAAAAGCATATATGTTTTTATTCAATGATTTTATAACAACTTTAGGAGCAGGTACTAAAGTTGCCGTATAAACAATTTGTGAAACGATTAAGGCTTTAATAACAACCACTTTACCATAAAACGTTAATATTATCTGTTTCCAGTATTTCATTATATTTTTGAATTTTTCTGACTTTTCCATCCCAAATTAAACATTCATTTTCCCTTTTATTTTTCCCGATATTCATTCCCAAATATTTTATTGTTTGTTCAGTACTTTCCCCACATTCTCCGTTCGCATAGTCTGTATTGATCTTCATTACTTTAGTCTTATCCTAATTTACTTGAGGACCTGTCATAATTTTCGATCTCTTTCATCAATGATTTTGAACTATTTCACAAAAAATGGTTGTGTTATCTGCAAATTGAGACACTTTTAATTCGGACAATACAGAACCTAATAAATCAATTCCTTTTATATCTTCGTTTTGTCGGATCTTACATTCTAGAAATTCAGCTACAATAATGAAAAGAAGACAATGGGCATCCCTGTCTCACCCCTTGCTCAATAGAAAAAGACTTAGACATCCTTAAGTAATTCATCACCTTTCCCTTTGCATTACTATACACAGTTTGGACCCATTTAATACAACCTTCCTTCAATTGAAAATTCTTTAAAGCGCGCACTAAAGTGAGTGGCTAACATTATCGTACGCTTTTTTGAAATCTAGAAACATAATAATACAAGGCAACTTTTTATCTAAACAATAATCAATAAAATCCTGAGTCAGTCTGACATTTTCTGTTGCTGGCCTTTTTTTAATAAAGCCAGTATTCGTTTTGATAAAACTTGTGCACATAATTTATAATCTACATTTAAGAGGGATATGGGTCTCCAATTCTCTAAAATTCTTTTAATTACTTTTTTATACAACAATGTTTTTAGCGCTCCTAAATAATCGATAATATTAGTAGTCGTAATAGTAGCGTTTCAAAATCTCAAACTTCATTCTAAATTGTATAGGTCAGTGCAAACCCCAAAATGCTTCTTTGTTATTCAGTGAATGCACTAGATCATCGAGTTTTAAATGAGGCCAAACTTGACTAGCTTTCGCTATTGGCGCCATATTGTATAGTTATTGTCATGCTGAAATTAAACGTATCTAAAATTTTGGCAGTAAATGGATGAATGAAAAGTGAATGAAGGAAATGTATAACTTACCAAAATTTGAGTAGGCGCTTGCCACACCGAGGCAGAGAAGAAGCGAGAGAATAGTGTAGCTTTCCATCATAGCACGATTTAACCAGGACCCTCGGGTAGGATGTATCGATGAAAAGTGTTGCTAATTCTTGAAGGAGGTGCGTTTTTATAGTGACATGATAACAAAAAGAGCCTCTCCTTCAGATATTTGAAAGGATTCGAAATATTTACCTCTCTTTCTAGTAAACCAGTCGACCGTGGTGGCTGTTACGAAACTTTGTCGAAAAATAGATACCTGGGCCCTGTTATTATAACACTTTTTATCAATAACAAGTGTCACATTTCTACAACAAATTTGCTCACAGCCGTGAACAAGACCAAGATGATAAATTGGATAATACGAGAAAATAGATCAAACAAGTGCAAATATTATTCATTGTAATGATAAATACAAGAATCATGAACTCCAAAATGTATTGGGGTGGAATTTCTATTAACTGTTGGCTTCAGTAAACGATTTGTTGATAACTTTGCTCGGGGGGGGGGGGGGGCGAGCAGAAAGATCAGGTAAAGCATCGATAAATGTTGTGACCCCGCCTTTTCCCTGGGTCTGCTATTGAATGGATATATCAATCAAAGCCCCCCCCCCCGTAACAGGTAACAACCACTTAAATTATGTTATCTTCTATACGGTAGATCTAGTCAGTTAAATTATATCGGCTTCCACCCATACCACCTTTATAGACATTTACCAAGTTTTGTTATCATTGTAACATTATAACATGCCTTAATTACAGAACAGGTGGTTTCGTCCATCATATTCAAAAAATCTGTTTTTTTTTAACATGCCAAATAACCGTCTTGTTATTATCAGTGCATGCAATTTTCTGATTTGTAATTTTATGTATTCTATACAAGACAGTTGCCACTCGATACCAAACCACGTTACATTCTATGACCGATCCTACTCTTGCGTGCGTGTGTGTGTGGGTGGCAGTGCGGGTGTGGGTGAGTGTGTGGAGAATGGTTGTGCTTGCTCTTACCTGCTCCTAAAGAGGAGGATCTAAGCTTTACAAATATGTGTCATTTATTAATTATAATTGTGATTAAGCTATGATAAAACATCGATAATTTTCGGGGTTTTTTTTTTCTTTTTCTGGGACGCACTGTACAATGTTACCTTTCTTCGCACCAGTGGTCTCGAAGAAGAAAAAAAGTAGGAAATTCAAACTAATCGTCACGAGCAATAGAAGTGGTAATTTCCTCCTTAAAAGTCACAAAGACCCTTTCATTTCATTTCAGAAATAACCTCTCTTTCCCTCAAAAAAAACATTTTTATAGAACTTTTGTTTTCGTATTGTTGTGCACATGACGAGCAAACTCATTGGAAATGTAATATGTAGGTGTAAATTTAAGTTTCATGTTCTTCCTTATTTTTTTTTCTCGCTCTCTTCTCATGTTTCCTTCCATGCCACGAATCTTTTCGGAGCGTGACCAGATTGAAAGTATGCTTAAATGCGGGCATTGATGTATGTAGAAAAAACAGGATTGAGATCACCGTGCACCACTTAGAAATGTAAAAGAAGAATAAGAAAAATAAGGTCGAGATTCGACCTTTATGTCTAGAGGAGTAGACTTTGCATTTTACATTTCTAATTGTTATTATCTTCCATCTCAGAGTGATTATATTGTCTTTAATCTCAGAGTGATTATAGACGTTATTGATATGGATAATAAAGATAAAGCTGTCGGGGTCTTGGAACATAATGCTTCAAAACAAATCGACCTTGCTGTTTATTTCTTTATTTCCTTCTCTACTGTTTATTCTATTTTGTTGCCAATCCTCAAAAACTAATTTATTATGCATATCACTGGGGGGAAAATGTAAAGGAGAACTTCAATCGAATTTCGCATTTTAAACCGTTTTTTATTATATTCACTCAGGAAAATACATCGTCGAGCAATTCAGTAAGGCATTCAAGAGTTAGGATTTTTTATCGCTTAATGTTGTACCTTTGTAAATTATATTAGCCCCCCCCCCCCCCCCCACCTATCCCCTCCCATACACCACTGCAATGTAAAACTTAGCAATTGATTGTACGATATGTAGACGGATTGATCTTAACATATATTGGCTTTTATATAGTACAGGTCTTAATTGCCAATACTGCAATAAAATCAATCTCAAATTTATCTTTTTGCAATCCAAGAGCCAGGTGTGAATGAGAATTATCTATTTCGCCATTGGGCCCTACTTTACCCATTCGGCAATAATACACTAAATGAGGCATCACATTGTAATAGACCTCCTTAAATGCTCGCACACTAGGTGATGAATTTCTCACCAAATACATGCTGTGCTGGTAAATGTAAATTTTTTGGGAAAAGCTGCTCAAAGTCCCCCTCCCAGCCCCACCCCCGCAAACACGTACACAGGCACACACACTACAACATATAACCCTACACTCCCGTTCACTTTTTATTTATTTTTTCGTTCAGTAACTTTCTTTTATTCCTCCAAATGTAATACAAACAAGAACAACATACAATAAAAGAGGAGGATCTAAGCTTCACAAGTATGTGTCATTTTTTTAAATTATAATAGTGATTAAGCTATGATTAAACATCAATAATTTTCGGTTTCTTTTTTTCTGGGAGGCACCGTACATTGTTACCTTTTATCGCACCAGTGATCTCGAGGCAGCAGACAACAAGACATTTTGTATATAATAAAAGGTCCACGGGATAGAATGTTAGAAGCTTTAACTAAATAAAACACACACTCTCTCCAATTTTAGACAGAAAAAGATTGTTTTAGGAACCACTTCGATCTTAACGGATGGGGTGCAGGGGGGGGGGGGCTTTGTCAGGAGTCTTAGGCCGAAGCCGCAGGAAGTTCTTAAATTAAAAAAAAAAATAGGAAATTCAAACTAGTCGTCACGAGCAATAGAAATTGTAATTTCCTCCTGAAAAGTCACATAGACCCTTTCATTTCATTTTAGAAATAATATCTCTTCCCCTCGAAAAAGACATTTTTTATAGAACTTTTGTTTTAGTATTGTTCTATCTCGTTTGCAGACTTGTTTGGCACATGTCGAGCAAACTCATCGGAAATGCAATAAATGTTCAATAATTTATTGCATTTTACACCGGTCCCCAACATAAAAAAAAATCCTCTGGACGGCCATGAATTATGGCTCAAGGCATGGACACACAGGGGATTGTTTAATGTTGGGAACCGAGGTAAAATGCAATAAATTATTGAAAAATTATTGCATTTTCTTTGTTTTTTATTATTTATGGAAACTGCCCCGTACCCTAGCCCCCGCTGCGTACAGGCATGGTTCAGTTTAGTGACAAAGCAATGGCCTCGTAACTGTGAGGCCCCAGGATCAAAACCGTGTCGATGTGCTATATATTAGTGCCCTTTTATAGGGCATTAATCCTCATTACTGTCATTTATGACTTAAAGGCGTAGGTCCCCTAGTTGATAAGCATAGTAGCATACACATGCTTTAGCAGTCACGCAAAACACACATTGTCAAATTATCATTCAATAAACTCAGAGAATGTATACTATTTTCTAGATCTATTATTTTTGAATTATTTTAAAATAATTCCATAAATTGGGGTAAAACAAAAATATTCCAACTTTATGAGCGACAATGTATTTAGGTGTAAATTTAAGTTTCATGTTCTTCCTTTTTCTCTCTCTCACTCTCTCCATCTTCTCATGTTTCCTTCCATGCTAAGAATCTTTTCGGAACGTGACCAGATTGAAAGTATGCTTAAATGCGGGCATTGATGTATGTAGAAAAAACAGGATTGAGATCACCGTGCACTGCTTAGAAATGTAAAAGAAGAATAAGAAAAATAAGGTCGAGATACGACCTTTATGTCAAGAGGTGTAGACTTTGCATTATGCATTTCTAATTGTTATTATCTTCCATCTCAGAGTGATTATACTGTCTTCAATCTCAGAGTGATTATAGACGTTATTGATATGGATGATAAAGATAAAGCTGTCGGGGTCTTGGAACATAATGCTTCAAAACAAATCGACCTTGATGTTTATTTCTTTATTTAGAGTCCTTCTCTACTGTTTATTCTATTTTGTTGCCAATCCTCAAAACTAATTTATTATGCATATCACTGGGGGGAAAATGCAAAGGAGAACTTCAATCGAATTTCGCATTTTAAACCGTTTTTTATTATATTCACTCAGGAAAATACATCGTCGAGCAATTCAGTAAGGCATTTAAGAGTTAGGATTTTCTTTCGCTTAATGTTGTACCTTTGTAAATTATATTAGCCCCCCCCCCTCCCCCACCTATCCCTCCCATACACCACTGCAATGTAAAACTTAGCAATTGATTGTACGATATGTAGACGGATTGATCTTAACATATATTGGCTTTTATATAGTACAGGTCTTAATTGCCAATACTGCAATAAAATCAATCTCAAATTTATCTTTTTGCAATCCAAGAGCCAGGTGTGAATGAGAATTATCTATTTCGCCATTGGGCCCTACTTTACCCATTCGGCAATAATACACTAAATGAGGCATCACATTGTAATAGACCTCCTTAAATGCTCGCACACTAGGTGATGAATTTCTCACCAAATACATGCTGTGCTGGTAAATGTAAATTTTTGGGGAAAAGCTGCTCAAAGTCCCCCTCCCACCCCCACCCCCGCAAACACGTACACAGGCACACACACTACAACATATAACCCTACACTCCCGTTCACTTTTTATTTATTTTTTCGTTCAGTAACTTTCTTTTATTCCTCCAAATGTAATACAAACAAGAACAACATACAATAAAAGAGGAGGATCTAAGCTTCACAAGTATGTGTCATTTTTTTAAATTATAATAGTGATTAAGCTATGATTAAACATCAATAATTTTCGGTTTCTTTTTTTCTGGGAGGCACCGTACATTGTTACCTTTTATCGCACCAGTGATCTCGAGGCAGCAGACAACAAGACATTTTGTAAATAATAAAAGGTCCACGGGATAGAATGTTAGAAGCTTTAACTAAATAAAACACACACTCTCTCCAATTTTAGACAGAAAAAGATTGTTTTAGGAACCACTTCGATCTTAACGGATGGGGTGCAGGGGGGGGGGGGGGGGGGGGCTTTGTCAGGAGTCTTAGGCCGAAGCCGCAGGAAGTTCTTAAATTAAAAAAAAAAATAGGAAATTCAAACTAGTCGTC